TTTCTCACTCACTACCAGGTAACACGGATGCTGGTCCATGGACTGCACATGGAGTCAGGAGGTTCACATCAAGGTTAATGAACTGTACCACCCTGGTTAAAGCCTCTTCATCCACACTGTGGGTGGCTATTTAAATGCCCTTTCTTCAGGAAAGCCTCCCTGCTCCCTCTCCATGATTACCGGCTTCAATGTCTCTGTACTTTTTCCTTTGAACCACTTATAACAACTGTAATTAAAGAGTATTTGTATAATTATTAGTTTAATGCCTGCCTCCCAGGGAGACTGCAAGCTTCACGAGGACGGGACCTGCACAGTGTCTAGCACATCACAGACTGCCAATGAGTGAGGGGCTGCTGTGGTCTGGAACAGGCTGGGCCAGCATCCTGGAGTAGACAGGTAACCTTTACACATGTGGGAAACAGACTCCAGTGGTATCAAGGCCGACAATGACATTTCTTAGCTTTAAAATTCCCACCAGTTTCAAATACATGCCAACTAAACTTTAAGCAATCTTTGCCCATAAAAAGATCCCTGCATCTTCATCAAGTGCAAAATAGCCCGAATCTCACAACAGCCACTCTTCGTGGGGAATAGTCAGGCCCTGGAAATAAGCATTCCCTGATAGGCCTCAATGACGAGCCCTCTCCAGGCACGCTCCCTGACCAGCCTCCCTCTGCTGCAGACCCACAATGCCTTCTTCACTTTTTCTGCTGCTGTCCTTTCGAGGAACCCCAAAGTGCTGAATGCCCAGCTCTTTGGCACTGGCAGAGATATCTGACCACATCGTCGTTCCTGGGAGGCAAAGTCTGAAGTCAGACAGCCTGGGTCTGGACACCAGCTCTGTGCCCTTGGACGAATTATTTAACTGCTAAATGAGAATAAGCATGCAGGAGCCAGCACCTTCGAGGACTGAGAGACAAACACACAAAGCAGGCAGCGTCATTCCGCTCCAGGATACACCACGATTATTATTCTCCCTATATCCTGAGTCCACTTCAAACCTATTGTTGTGCACGAGTCTCCACCCAGGGGCTCCGCCCCATTCAGGATCCTCTCTTCCCAGCCCCCTCCCGCCTCACCTGTCTGGAGCTTGTTTGAAGCAATGACTCACAGCACAACTCTGCAGCTCCCATCAATCACCTCCTGTCCCTGCCTGTGTCATTCATGGGTTCCTTCTTGAAAAAAGGTAAACCCTTTTCCTAATGCCCAGTACATTCATTCAGCAAGTATCTAGTGAGGGCCCACTAGAATCAGAACCTGCTCTAGGCACAGAGGCTCAGCAATGAACAAAGACGTCTACCCTCACAAACCTTCTAGTTTTTTTTTTTTTTTTTTTTTTTTTTTTTTTAAGACAGAGTCTCGCTCTGTCGCCAGGCCAGAGTACAGTGGCACGATCTTGGCTCACTGCAACCTCCACTTTTTGGGTTCAAACAATTCTCCTGACTCAGCCTCCGGAGCAGCTGGGACTACAGGTGCCTGCCACTATGCCCAGCTAATTGTTTGCATTTTTAGTAGAGAGGGGGTTTCACTATGTTGGCCAGGATAGTCTCCATCTCTTAATCTCATGATCCACCTGCCTCGGCCTCCCAAAGTACTGGGATTACAGGCGTGAGCCACCTTGCCCAGACACGTTTTAGTACATTTAACCCATGGATGGAGATCAGTTCAGGCCTCGGGCCCTTACATTCCTTCACTTCTCTCCTGACCAATCCTAAATAAATCACACACGAGTCAAAGTGCTAAGAAAGCATTCCAGATCAAAAAATGTTGCAATGTGAAAAAATCCCGATGACTACACTGCTCCTCTGACTGTTGGACTTTGAAGAAGTCAATGTTGAAACCGCCTGAATCACCCAGTTCCCCTAGTTGTCTCACTGGCCAGTCACATCCTCCAGCAGAGTTTGTGTGACACATCTGGAAAATAAGGCGCCCCATTAACCGGTCTCATGTGTGGGGTGTGAGCCTGAGGGTTTCACGCTCTCATCGCTACATTCTTTGAAGCGAGCTTGATTTGGGGTTCCTAGCAGGGGCAGTGGCCTTGTAGAAATGGCACTGGGAACACACTGAAAGCTCAGGTTTGAGTGCTGGTTCTGCCCCTTACTGGGTACAGAGCTTTCTTCCTGACTCAGTTGCTTCCGAGAGTCTCTAAGGCCCTTTTCCAGCTTTGAAGTCAAAGGGCTGCAGACCCAGCCGATTCACAGATCCCTTAATTCAAGACCATGAGTCCCTGCCCTGGGCATGGGAAGGGTTAGCAAGCCAGATGAGGAGCCAGTGCCAAGCAGCACTGGTGGGGCCAGGGAGCGTTCACCTGTCTCCTCCAGGATGTGCTGGGCTCCTTTTATTTACTTATTTACTTCCTTCTAGAAAGAAGTTGTGCTTCTTTCCAAACTCAACTCTGCTAGAAATATCTCTGGGCCACAAGGCAAACTAAAATAGAGTGCAAAATCTCTGGTGGTCCCATTAGTCGCCCTTCCTCCAACTCGAAAACCATTCCAGACCTTGTCCGTCTCCTTGTCTCCAGACAGAGAGCCTAAAATAAGTCCTCTGTAAGTCTCCTGGTAGGAAATGCCCGGTTGGAATGGAAATGACCCAAGCCCTGAACAAATGGCCCGCTGACCACACATCATGGGCTGAGGATTCACCCAGGTATCAGCTCTCAGGAGAAGACAGCAAGTGAGCCTCGGTCCCCACCTCAACTCACTACAGCCCCCTCCGCCGAGACACAGGCAACTAGGCCAGGATGGAGGAAGAAAATGAGGCCCAAACATCCAATTCCCCCTATCCCAAAGAAAGCAGCTCTAGCCCGACTGCCCTCAGGCAGGAAAGCCAGCTCCAGAAGGTCACTGGAGCACCAGTGTGGCTGACAAAACCTCTGAGAAAGTATAGAAAATAACATTCTCTTTAAAACAAATGAGAAGGAATGGCCATTCTAGGTTTCAGAAGTCAAAACCAGACAGCCCCATCTGCTTTGATCACATTAGGAAGACATTCCCTCTTATCTAATGAGTTAAGAATGGTTCTCTTCTTCCCCCGCCCCATTGGTTCTCTAGGGCCCCTGGTGAAGAAGCAATAGGGACACAGACCCCCAGCCCTCTACTTGGCAGAAATGAACTTTGGTTTTACTTACACGTGTACAAAGGCAGGACTGAGAGGGCAGCTTCAAAGCAGGCTGAGTGACCCCCATGAGCACAAAGTCCTCTGCACACCTGTGGGGGAGTTTTGTGAATTTCCCAGGCCACCCACAGGGACTAGTTATGTACCCTTTAGGTCCATATCGGCCGGGAGTTTCCATTTTGCACAGAAAGAAAGGTGCTCAGGGTGCCCCGTCGCAGGTGGGCCCTCGGCCTGCAGCTCAAGGGTGGGCCATGAAGTTGGTCCCTCACTGGATTGCCCCGCAGGCCCCCCTGAGACCCGGTAGGACGAGCACCTCAAAGTGTCCCTATGAAAAGGCACCCAGGAGGGGAGGGGCAGTGGCTCACAGCCCCAGGGAGGACTGTGATCCCTGCACTTTGGGAGGCGGGCAGATCACGAGGTCAGGAGTTCGAGACCAGCCTGGCCAATATGTAAAACCCTATCTCTACTGAAAATACAAAAATTAGCCGGCCGTGGTGGAGTGTGCCAGTAGTCCAGCTACTCGAGAGGCTAAGGCAAGAGAATCACTTGAACCTGCGAGGTGGAGGTTGCAGTGAGCTGAGATCGCGCCACTGCACTCCAGCATGGGTGACAGAGCGAGACTCCATCTCAAAAAAAAAAAAGAAAAGAAAAAAGAAAGAAAAGGCACCCAGGATGCTGCTATGTGTTGTCCTAACCGTCTGGCAAAGCCTAGGGATACACGAATGACCCTTTCGGGTTGTTTAAAACCCACACAAGCACCTCCCTGGCCTCTTAAATCTTTCCAAACTACAGCTCAGACGGGAGGAAGCTGTTGCAGCGCCCATACAAGTCATCTGAAAAGGCAAGTTGGAAAAAACCCGATACGCACTAGTTAGCAAGTCCGCGGTTAAGGGGGCGGTGGCCCTGGGGCGGGATCTGCGGGATCTGCGTGCCCCGGGTGGGGAGGCTGGGGCGGCCCCGCCGGTCCCCGAGCCCGCGCGCCCACCTGGTAGCCGGGGGGCCTCGATCTGACGCCGGCGATCACGCCCCACAGCTCCATCCAATTAGGAAAATGACCGCGAGAAGACGGAGACAGGGCGACGAGGAGGAAGGGGGGCTGAGCCGCGCGGGAGGCTCCACACCGGCCGTGGGCACCCGCCCGCCACCCCCCCGCCAGAGAGCGCCCGTCCTAGGTCCCCGGCCCGCGACGCCCCGAAGCCGGCCAGTGGCCCCCGGGGACGCCCCCAGCCCCCCAGCGGCGCGCTCAGCCTCCCCCACCCACAGCCGGCCGGGACGCGCGGCCACCGTCCCCCCCGCTCAGAGAATAAAGTTTGTGGGCAGCCGTAGGGGCGGGGCGGCGAGGGGGTGAAACTTTGAGTCCCGGGCCGGGTGCGGGGGGAGCGCGACCAGCACCGGGACACCCACGTGCGGGCCCGGGAGCCGCCGCTGCCGCCGCCGCCTCAGGGCCTCCCGCGCCGCCGCCGCTTTCCTTTCATTTTTGCTTCGGTCTCTCTCTCTCTCTCAGTCTCTCTCTCTCTCTCTCTCTCTCCGTCTCTCTCTCCGTCTCTCATTCGCGCGCTCTCCTCCCTCTCGCCCTCTTTCGCTCGCTCCCTCCCCTCCCCCTCCCTCCCCCTCCCCCTTCCCCCACCCCAGACGCCATCTCTCCCTCTTTCCCCGGCTCTCCCTCGCTCCCTCCGGCTCCCCGGCATGAGGGAATGTGGAAGTGAAAGGAAAAGACGACATGTTTGCAGCGCGGCGCGGGCCTGCGCGCGGCCGTCCCCGGGGAGAGGCGGGGGGCGGGTCGGCCGCGGCCGCAGCGACCCACCCCCGCGCCCCCCGCTTCCCCGCCGGCCCCGCCGCCGACCGGAGCTGCGAGGCCGGGCCCGGGGGCCGCGCGGGACACTCACCCTGGGTCCGGGCGCGGCTCCTGCGCTGGGGCCCTCGGCGGCCCGGGCCGGGTCGGGCGGGTCGGGGGCTCCTGGCTGTGCCCACCGCCCGGGCTGCTGCTGCGCGCCCGCCGCCCGCCTCCACGCGCGCCCGCTGCTCCCGCCGCCCTCCCTCCGGCTCCTCTCGCTCCCCCCTCCTCTCGCTCGCTCGCTCGCTCGCTCGCTCGCTCTCTCGCTCGCTCTCCCTCCCTGGAAGAAGGGAATGAGGCAGGGCTGACGTGAAGGGATGCAAAACAGCTCCTCCTAAGCAGCTCGCAGAGGAAGAGACACAGAAAAGCAGCCCTTTTATCTCTCTTTTGTTTTCTCACTTCCTTCCACCCCCGGCACCCCCCTCTCGCCAGCCCAAGTTTTCTTTTCTCTTTCTACCGCAGAGGATTTTTCCTCCTTTCTCTCTCTTTCTTTCGGTTCAACTCTCCCACTCGAATCGAAAGCCTGGAGGGGTTTCTTTCCCCTGTTTTTTTCTTCCCTCTTTTCTTCCTTCTTCCTCCTTTCTTATTTCTCTAAAAGGGTTTTGTTTGCTGTGGGAGTTTCGTTTGAAAATCAAGTCACGCCTTTTTTCCTTCTTTTCTTTCTTTCTCTTTTTTTTTTTTCTCCTCAGCATTAAAGGGGAACAAAGATGAACTGAAGCGGGGGAGAGGGGAGAGGCAGAACCTCGCTTGGAGATGGGGGGCCCTGCCCTGCCCGGCACAAAGGGGACCCAGGGGCCTGCTCCCCCTCACCGGGAAGCCGGGGGCGCCCTCGGGAGAGAAGGGGGGGTGCGGGGCGCGGGTGCGGCTCCGGGTGCCGGTTCCTTCCCCAGTGCGAGCGAGGCCCGCCCCTCCCAGCCAGAGGTGGCGCGGGTGTGTGCCCCACTCACTTCTGTGTTTTAAAGTAGGCAGATGGGCCTGGAACACACCTCCCCGCAGAGCCCTGAACACGACCAAAGCCTTTCAACAGCTGTGAGCCGAGCTCTGGACGGCGGGACTCGAGGGGGCGGCGCGGGCTCCGAGCGCCAGGGCCCGGGTGGGGAAGGGGCTCAGGGCAGCTGCTGGGAACCGAGCCTTGGGGCGCCCTGCTGGGGGGCGCAGTGCTCTGGGGGGCGCGGTCCTCTGGGGTGCCGAGGCGTGGCTGCGGGCAGCGGGGAGGTCAGGTCCCTCTGGGCTCCCCTTGGGGCCGCGGGGTTCCGCATCGCCTCGCCTCCCCCCAGTCCCGGCGCAGGCCGGACACCAGGCCTGCAGCCTCCAGAGCACCCGCCTCTCCGAGCCGCTTCTCGCCTCCGACGCTGGGCGGGTCCGGAGCCCTCGGACAGAGCCGGGCAGAGCCACCACCAAGGGTCAATGATTCATGGGGCCCCCGGACGTGCTCCCAAGACCTGCTCTGTCCTCGGGCTCTCTGGAGGAGTAGGGGAAATACAGGGGGAAAGTTCCCAGAGGAAAGTTGGTCACATTTCTTATTTTCCCAAGTAAGTATTGAGCACCTGCTCGATGCCGGGCCCTTGGACTGGGGCTGCAGCCAGGGACAGAAACGTGAGATCTCGGTGGGCCCCGAGAGCAAACGCAGGGAACAATGCAGGGGAAGCCGCGGCTCTGGACCAGGTCACCGGAGGAAGGAAAGCCTGGATCCTCTCCCTCCCTCCTCTCTTCCTTCCCTTCCTTCCTCCCGGCTGCATCTCCTTGGCTCCACCCCTTCTCCTCATCAATTCCTCCCACACTTCCCTGCTCTCCCAGGCTTTTCACTGGAGGGTCCCTTCTCCCAGGGAGGAGCAGATGCTGAGCCTCATTGTCTCTCCCCCAGTGAGTGCAGCCTCCCGGGGACAGGCCTGCCACTCCTCACCCCTCCCCCTAGCCCTGAGGCCTGGGCCTTTAGAGACAAGTGCCCCAAGGCTATGGCCCCTCGCCCCACCCTAAATCAGCTCCTGGTGCTCTGGGCTATGACTCCAGTCACTCAGAACACATTTGTCTCTGACTAGGAGTGCAACAGTAGCTAGAGAGTTTGGTTCAGCAAGAAGGACACCATGGTTTTTTCACATCAGCACCCCGATCCCCCAGTGACCCCAGAGCCTTCACCCAGGTCCAGCAGGAAGCCACATTTCCGTCATCACCTGCCCCCTCCCACTTAGTACACCCAACTTGTATCCTCCGAAAAAGCAAAATGCAGCTGTTGGAGCCAAGCATTCATTTGACAAATGCTTACTGAGCACCTGCCCTGTGCCACTAAGGTGCTGGCTGCTAAGAACCCAGTCATCAGCAAGACGCAGTCCTTTGGCCTTTGGCCTTTTGCTTTGCAGGTAAAGGGGCAAGAAAAGAAGGCGGGCAATCCTAATGCCGTGAGATATAGGCAAGGGTAACGAAGGAAGCTCCCGAGAGGGCGCTTGGACCAGGGTGGCCCGGTGTGGCTTCTTGGAGCAGGTCATGTCTAGATTAGGGTGTGCCAGCCTAATGCATGGAAGAGAACAGCCTGTGCGAAGGCTCCAGGGCAAGATGGCACATTATTACAGGTTCTTGGAACTGTCCAGAGTTCAAGTGTTGACTGCAGCTTAGGATAAAAGTTGGTGGTGGAAGAGTAGGGAAAAGGGGAGGGTGTCAGGGAAATGTTCAGATTTTAGCCCCTCCCACTTGCTAACTTCATGAATGTAGGTGAATAACATAGCCTCAGTGAGTAACTGAGACTTAATTTCCGGGTATATAAAACGCAGGTAAGAAGACCTGTAGATTGCAAAGACAGTGTCTTAGTTTACCTGCTGCATATTCCTGGGCAAGTCAACCTTTCCAACTTTTCTGTAAAATAGGGATGAAAATACCTGCTTCACCGTGTTATTGTGAGGCTCGAATGAGCCCACACCTCGCATAGCGTCCGGTACATACCCACCAATCCCTGGTAGCTTTTATTTACTGTTACTTTAAATCCAGGAGTGACTGGGTGGTACCTGGGTGACCTGGAAATAAGATTATGTTCAGAGTTGAAACCAGAGTGACTCACCACACCAGAAACATGATGAGCCGGCTGAGGGGAAGCATTCCTTCAAAGATGACCAGTGTCCCAGTGGGTGGCTGGGATTGGGGAACACCCACATCTGATCAGATGGCTGGGTGGCTTCTCAGGAGCATGATTAGAACTTGATGATGGTGGTTACCAAGGCCCAGCCTGATCAGCAGAGTTGTAGCCTGCCCGAGGGACACATAGGAATCAGGAGGTGATGAAATTCAGGAAGCCCCCTGGAAATCCTCATGAAATCCAGGAAGGCTCCTGGGAACAGGCACCTGGCTATGTTTGTTCAGGAGAGAAGGGTAATCACAGAAGTTCACACTGGAGGAGCAAGGGGAGGATAGGGGGTGATTATTGACTTCTCCACAACCTGATTCAAGGCTCCCAAAACGTCTTAGTCCTTTGGTTGGATTCTTGGTTCTCCAAGTGACCTGCACATGAACTTGGCACCAGCCAAATGTCCTCCAGGATCCAGGCAGCTCTCTAGTTCCTGCTTTGTAAACATTTTACACTTCTGTTATTTCTTTACAACACAAATTCATTGTGAAAGAATTTGAACATCAACTAAGTGAAAATGAGAACAAACCCTATGTAGAGACATATTTCGATGTATATACTTGGACATTTAAATGCACATAATAATAAAACTGTACAAAGTCACTATCATTAAACAAGTGATGACTATATGTATGCTATTTTTACAAAATTAACAAAAATGGCATAACACTACACCTACTGAATTGCAACTACCTTCACCCAGTAATATGTCACAGATTATCTTCTGGTCTGTAAACATCCACGTTCTTCTTTGAAGACAGGGTAGCTAGGGTTACGTTTGTGTGCCACCATGCTTGGCTGTATTTTTTATTTTATTTTTTGGCACAGACTGGGTCTTGCTATGTTGCCCAGGCTGGTCTTGAACTCCTGGGCTCAAGCAACCCTCCTGCCTCAGCCTCCCAAAGTGTTGGGATTACTTGCATAAGCCACCTTGCCCAGCCCACATTCTCTTTCTCAGTGAATGATCTAATTCCCCAGTATGTATATATCTTAATTTGTTTAAACAAATTGCTAGACTCATGGGAAGCTTGCACGTTTTTTGCTTTTATGAACCTGCGTTGATAAACATAGCTGTACAGCCACCTTAGTGCTAGGCTGGGCTGAGCACTTTATTTGAAGTGTAGGTATCACTATCATTTTACAGATGAGGAGGCTGAGGCACAGAAAAGCTTAAAAACTTCACAAGGTCACACCCATGGAATGTTGGAGCCAGAATGTGTAGCTAAGGTTTCCCCTTGGGAGTTCCCTTTCAGCATTTGTTTTCCCCTCCTTAAGAGTCCCCTCCACTTTCCCCACAGTTTTCCTCTCTTACAGATCACCTCCCTATGAGAACCTGTCTGGACAGGTGACCCATTTCCATCTCTGACAACTTTTAACTTCAGTAATGCCCGCCTTCTGGGGTTGTTGGGAGGAGCCGATAATATATGATGTGTAATATATTGTACTGCATTTTATAAATTTCAAAGCCTGTGTGAATGTTAGAAGGTCCCAGTGAGGCCCTAAGCTTGCAGACATCACCATTTAGCCAAATCCCCTGACTTGCCCAAACCCAGCAAGGAATCCTCTGGATTCACACCAGAGAGAGAGAAATCAGCTTTTTTTTGATACAGAAGCAGTAAATGGCCTCCCCTGGGCATTTCAGACGCCCCAAAGCCGCCCCCGTGGAGCTGAAATTCAAAGGTAAGTTTATAATTATAAGGGTTATTAACCCTGATTTCCCCGAAGGAGGATGCATTCCTGCTGCAGATCTTTCCAGAATGTTCTAGCATCTCCGAAAATCCCAGGAATCTTGTAAGCTGAAAAAAGGAATGAAACGCAGCTCTTCAATGTTTCAATCGACATGTTCACTAGAGTAACTCCCTGGGAGATTAGCAGGTGATTATTAATATCTTCTTTCATTGGTAGAACCAAACAAACATTTTAGAAGACATTATTGGCTTTGCAATATCTAATATTCGTTTTTAAATATCAAGCCTCCCAACAGGAGTCCAGCCAATGAAAGGCGAGGACCCCAGGGTTCAACTAGACAGGCACTGCAGAAAGCGGAGGTGGACCTAGGGCTCCTAAAAGGCTGGGCTTAGCGGAAATGGCATGGAGGTTGGGAACTGGAAGAGTCAAGGAGATAAGCTCTAAGTGCCCACAGAAGATGCATTGGGCAGCAATTCAAAATCTTAAGAAGAGCTGGGCATCGTGACTCACACCTGTAATCCCAGCACTTTGGGAGGCTGAGGTGGGTGAATCACTTAAGGTTAGGAGTTCAAGACCAGCCTGGCCAGCATGGTGAAACCATGTCTCTGCTAAAAATACAAAAACTGGGTTGGGCGCGGTGGCTTACGCCTGTAATCCCAGCACTTTGGGAGGCCAAGGTGAGTGGATCACCAGGTTGGGAGATCGAGACCATCCTGGCTAACATGGTGAAACCCTGTTTCTACTAAAAATACAAAAAAATTAGCCGGGCGTGGTGGCAGGCAC